GTGCAAAAAAAAATCAAAATACTGAAAAAATCGCCTTTAAAGTTATCCAAATGAAGTCCTTAGCAATGCATATTACTAATCAAATTAAGTTTTGATATATTTACGGTAGGAACTTTACAAAATATCTTCATGGAACACGATCTTTACTTAATATCCTAATTATTTTTGGCATAAACGAAAAATCGATCATTTTGAACCCATACAATGTATTGTTGGCTATTGCTGCAAAAAAATACCTGAGCTACTTATGACTGGTTTTGTGCTCCAAGGTCACATAATACAAATACAGTGGTGGCCAAAATTATTAGAACACTAATATTTTTACCAGCTAAAAATGGTTTTAAGTCAGTTATGTCTATCTTTTGCTGTAGTGTCAGTATAAATATCAGTTTACATTCCTAAACATTCATTTAGCCATTAATTGTAATAATCCAGTGAGATTTTTGTTTGCACAAGGAGTCTGATAACAGCCAGTGCTCCACACACAGATCTGATCTGATCATCATCAGTCTGTCCTACCTGCAAAGCTACTATATTTCTTAGTTACTGACACTAGATAAAAATAGCTGACTTAAAACCATTTGTTTAGCTGGTGAAAATACTAGTTTTCTAAGACTTTTGGCCACCACTGTATATAATTAAAATGGTATATCCTAGTCAACATGGTCACATAGAGGGTGCAGAAAAAGTTAGTGATTCATTTTGTCAGGCAATCAAAGGGGATCCCTTGCCATTGTTTAATGAGTTTGAATGAGTATTTACAGCCTTGACTGGAATGAATCATTGATGCTAAAGTTTTTCCATTATTCACGTACAAACGTATGCATTATTTAATCACGCATCATCTCGTGTTTCTGCCCCTGACCCCCGTCGCACATCAAGGTTATTAGGACACCGTGTTGGGCCACTTTAGTTTGCAGTGAAGGTGAGCACGTTGGCATAAGTTTAGCAGTGAGATATGGCACGTTCACTCAGATGTAGCAATTGTCTACCTTTTATTTATTTATTTATTTAGTTATTTATTTATTCATTCTTCAAGAAGTAAAACACAAAAAATAAATGTCCGAAAGCTAGGCACTGTCTGTCAGTCTCAGTCAAGATTCAGTGGTATTTTATTTTTTATGGACATACAATAAATGACGACTGAGGCTGCCATTCTGTTGGTATTTAATAACATGTAGATCTATACGTCTATAAATACTGTAAATAATGATTTTTTCATTTTGGGCGTGCTGTTCCTTTAAGTTGCTATATTAGGCGGCCCGATTTAAAATGGTTAAAGTTTCATAATAAGGTAAACATTGAAATCAGTTCGTAATCCGCGCACTTGAGACGGAGTTCCGGGGATACGGTAGTAATTCATTTTGTAATAAATGTATTGGATGAGACTTGAGGCGGGGTGGTATTGACGACATATTTCTAAATTTAGACAATAGTGCGTAATTCAATCGCATTGGAGTTTCATCAAAGGTAAAAAAGGAAAATAATACAAGGGTAATACAAGGATAGTCGAGGTTTAGGCCTAATGCGTGTTGGATTATGACCAAATGTGACAGCCGCATTTCTGAGCGCACGAAGAGTCGGATCTTTTTAATAAATCTTGAACCGATTCACTTAACCCGTTCATAAAATACATGATAAGCTACATATAACAAGGTCTGGAAATGTTTCTATGACATTTTATCGAAGCAAATGGAAAACAATTAATTGTAATAAATTTAAAAATACCTTATTTATTACCAAGCAAAACAGATGGTTCATTATTTTTGTACAATTTAGGCTAATGTAAATTAATGTTCTAATTTTTTTGTTTAGCTGAATCCTGTCTTCAGCCAACTGAACCGTCACAAAATAAATAATAATAAACAACATGTAGGCTAGGCCTACTACATACATGCAATTTTGTGGAGTGTTTTGGAGCGTGCATTAGTTCTTTTTATATGATTACCATAGACTGTATAATAGCAGATGAGTACGTTATGACGTAAAAGAATCGCTGATTTTTTTAACCTGTTCTTTGAAACATGTTTGAAAGAGCCGATTCGCGGAAATGAGTCTTCCCATCACTAGTGCGCTGCGCATCTTGGTGTGGAGCCGGACTGAATAACTGAGAAATCAGACTGTTGTTATTGACTACCACGTTTTTCTGTATATTTAGTGGAGGAAAGGAATAAAACAATAACTTTTCAACGACTCGATTTTCGCATTCAATGTACTAGGCTACTAGTAGTAGCCTACTGTTTTAATTTCCCCTTGGCAAAGACAGTAAGTTCTCCTCTACTTTCTTGTATCTGTGTTATTGCGTGTGTGAGAGTGAAAAAAAAAAAAGAAATTGAGTCGCACTGCGAATATTCTGCTCATCTGTAAAAGTCTGTTTTGCCGTCTCGACACAGAAACATTTAATAGAAACTGTATGCGTTTATCACAGGGATCTGGTTCCTCTCCCGTAGAAAGCTGAGGATCGGTTAATCGCCGCATGAAGAGTCCTAGACAACAATTTGGCGCTCTGCAGAGAGCTCCTGTTAGCTCTCTTGAAGCTGTAATCACATCATGTTGATGCTGTCCATCGCGTTGTTTTTACTCTTTCTGTCTCCATCGAGGAGCTCAAGACTGTGTAGTCACCTCTGCCGGTGCTATGTACACTCAGACCTGGTGGACTGCCAAGCCAGAGGTTTTGAGGATGTCCCACATGGACTTCCCCATGGCACCTGGCTCCTAGACCTGGGAGGAAACAAGCTCTTCAAACACAGGTAAGATCACTTAGGCTATTCCAGGGGTGCACAATCCTGTGTCCTGGAGATCTACCTTCCTTGCAAAGTTACCTAATCAAAGTATCCTAACCAAATGCGCCTGAACCAGCAATTTAAAGGGATAGTTCACCTAAAAAATATGAATATTTGCTGAAAAAAAATAGTTTTTTCTTCATCGGAACAGATTTGGATAAATTTTGCATTACATCAATTGTTCACCAGTTGATCCTCTGCAGTGAATGGGTGCCGTCAGAATGAGAGTCCAAACAGCTGATAAAAACATCACAATAATCCACAAGTAATCCACACGACTCGATTCCATGTTATGTGAAGCAAAAAACTGTGTGTTTGTAAGAAACAAATCCATCATGAAGATGATTTTAACTTCAGATATGAGTCCTCTATCCATAATATTGCTTTCTCCTGGGGAAAAAAAGTTATCTTTTTTTAATTAGGAGAGAAATATGCACAGATCAAGCACTGTTTACAAGTGAAAACTGTCTAAAGCAGCTCTAAACAAATTTGATGGATTTTGAGAGGACAAGGGATGGACTATTGCACTGGAGGAAACGTTATTATGGATTATGGACTAGTTTGGATGATGGATTAGGGTCGTGTGGATTATTGTGATGTTTTTATCAGCTGTTTGGACTCTAATTTTTACGGCACCCATTCACTGCAGAGGATCCATTGCTGAGCAACTGATGTAATGCTAAATTTATCCAAATCTGTTCCAATGAAGAAACAAACTCATCTACATCGTTGAAGGCCTGAGGGTGAGTAATTTTTGGTAAATTAATTAGTAAATTTTAAATAAATGTTTTAGTAAAGTAGTTCATTTTAGAGGGAACTATTACTTTAAGAGAGAGTTGGCAATGCAGGAACTCTGCAGGAAGTTAGATCTCAACAGAATTGGACACATCTGATTTATTCAATCCACATAATTTATTTTGGATGATGGATTAGGGTCGTGTGGATTTTTGTGATGTTTTTATCAGATGTTTGGACTCTAATTTTGTCGGCACCCATTCACTGCAGAGGATCCACTGGTAAACAAGTGATGAATTTCTCCAAATCTCTTCTGATGAAGAAGCAAACTCATCTATGTTTTTGATGACCTGAGGATGAGTAATTTTTTGTATAATAATTAGTAAATAGTAGTTAATTTTTGGGTGAACTATTCCTTTAAGATCTTTAGAAACGCTTGATAACAGACAAGGTTATTGGCACTGAACTCTGCAGAACGTTATATCTCCAGGAACAGGATTGGACACCCCTGATTTATTCAATCCACATAGCTTAGTTTTGTCAATTGGGAGTTGCCCTGTGAAATCTAGTTCTGAGTTATGAGTTGAAGATATATGGATTACCCAAATGTCTGTTTTCCCACACAGGCTTTCTTCTCTCTCTCCTTCCTGGAGAAGCTAGACATGAGCCGTAATAACCTCACTCAGATTCCTCCTAACTTCTCAGAGAGCCTGGCTGCCCTGCGTGAGCTGCGTCTGGACCACAATGCACTGGTGCTGTTGAAACCTCCAGGTCTTGAGCATCTGGAGAACCTTGAGAAGCTGCACCTCAGCCACAATCGCATCCGATCTCTTGAGCCAGGTGCGTTCCGTGGCCTGTCCCGCCTGCGCCACCTTTACCTCCAAGGGAACCTCCTGGGTGTTGTGCGAGACGGATCCCTCACCATGCTGCCTGCCCTGGAAGTCCTGCTCCTGGGCAACAACAACATCTCTAGGATCGAGGTCATTGCACTAGCACCGTTGCGCAGTCTGTCTTGGTTGGGTTTGGAGGGGAATCATCTGGAGCACCTGAACTTCAAGACGTTCCTGAGCTTGCACACGGCTGCTACGCACCTGCAGTTGGCTGGGAACCCCTGGAACTGTGACTGCGACCTGCACTGTGTCTTCAGCAAGCTGCTCAGCGTGCGGCACCTGCACGTGGATGACTATCGCAATGTAACTTGTCGGGAGCCTTGGCAGCTCACCGGAGCTTCTTTGGCTTGGGTGGACAGCCAGTTGTGTGTGGCTGAGACCGTTACTGTGTTAGTCATCATTGCTACTGTGATTGTGACCGTGTTTGGTGCCTTGGTCATGGCGGAGAGAAAACGCAAGAAACAAAAATACTGGGAACAGGATGAGGAGGAACCGCAAGAGCAGTAAGGCGATTTTGCATGAGGTTAGGACACTTCTTTTCTCTTTTGAACTATGAAAACACAGATAAAATGTCCTGCTTTGACCCTTTTTCCCAACAAAGAGCAGGTACACAAATTCAAGCAAGAAGCTGGACTTGATACAATGAATTGAGTCGATGTGGTGATGGAAATTGAGACTCTTAAGATGGAATTCGCAAACATTGAACGAAAGTAGTTGGTAACTTAGATCTGATAGAAAGTTTTGTAATCTAGGATGTGTTCAGATTAGAATCTGTGCTAGATAACCAATTAGTTGTGTTATAGATTATAATACTGTGAAGCAGCTTCATCTCTTTGCCACTTGCAAACTCGTGTTAAAAGCTAAACTTTCAACTCTTACACTATTGTTCAAAAGTTTTAGAACTTTTTTTTATTTAGTACTGGTGCATCTCAATAAATTAGAATGTCGTGGAAAAGTTCATTTATTTCAGTAATTCAACTCAAATTGTGAAACTCGTGTATTAAATAAATTCAATGCACACAGACTGAAGTAGTTGCCAACAATTCACTAGAAATGTTTTTTTTATTGGTCTTATGGAGTATTCTAATTTGTTGAGATAGTGAATTGGTGGGTTTTTGTTAAATGTGAGCCAAAATCATCACAATTAAAAGAACCAAAGACTTAAACTACTTCAGTCTGTGTGCATTGAATTTATTTAATACACGAGTTTCACAATTTGAGTTGAATTACTGAAATAAATGAACTTTTCCACAACATTCTAATTTGAGATGCACCTGTACTTTTACTAATACTTTTATTCAGCAAGGATGTATTAAATTGATCAAAAATGACAGTAAAGGCATGCTGTTGTTGAACTTTCTTTTCATCAAAGAATCATGAAAGAAATTAATGCACAGTTGTTTTCAACATTGATGATAATACATGTTTCTTGAGCATCAAATCATCATATTAGATTGATTTCTGAAGGATCATGTGACAGTGAAGACTGGAGTAATGATGCTGGAAATTCAGCTTAGCATCACAGGAACAGATTACATTTAAAAATATATTCGAGTGGAAAACAGCTGTTTTAAATTGTAAATATATTTTACTGTATTATTGTTTTTACTGTATTTTTGATCAGATAAATGCAGCTTTGGTGAGCAGAAGAGACTTCTTTCAAAAACAATTAAAAAACATTTGCATAAAATTGCACGATAATTATTTTATATTTTATTTCATTTTTATGATTGTATTATTTTTTTTTATATTATTTTATTTTAATAGTTTCCCTTTCCTGTGATCAGTTTTTTGTCTTCTAACATTTCTTTTTTTTACATAATAACAAATGCTTTTCCCTTCAGTTGTGATCTTGATGTTTTTATATAGTTTCAAAAGAAAATGAATGCATGTCAATAATTATGTTCCTTAGTACAATAAAAACAACGTATGTCATACCCTTTCTGCCAGCAAAACTCTATCTTGTGTCCTTATGTGCTCAAAACAGCCTGTTAGATTCATTTCCTTCTGGTTGGCTGTAAAGCCTCAAAGCCCAAATCTCTGCAGCTGCTGTCAAAGGATTACACATCAATTAATGCGCATGGTTCCTGCTCCAGCACCCTGATTGAACTTTCAAATCATAATTTAATGATGGATTTAGTTTGGGGAACTCCTTCAGGTCATTACATTGATCTGTATTAAAACAAAATATGGACAAAAGACTTGTATCTGCAGTTGCTTTGCTGTGGCACAGGCTGGGCTTTAAACCTCTTTTTTAGCAGATTTGTGGATCAGTTTTTTGTCTTCTAACATTTCTTTTTTTTACATAATAACAAATGCTTTTCCCTTCAGTTGTGATCTTGATGTTTTTATATAGTTTCAAAAGAAAATGAATGCATGTCAATAATTATGTTCCTTAGTACAATAAAAACAACGTATGTCATACCCTTTCTGCCAGCAAAACTCTATCTTGTGTCCTTATGTGCTCAAAACAGCCTGTTAGATTCATTTCCTTCTGGTTGGCTGTAAAGCCTCAAAGCCCAAATCTCTGCAGCTGCTGTCAAAGGATTACACATCAATTAATGCGCATGGTTCCTGCTCCAGCACCCTGATTGAACTTTCAAATCATAATTTAATGATGGATTTAGTTTGGGGAACTCCTTCAGGTCATTACATTGATCTGTATTAAAACAAAATATGGACAAAAGACTTGTATCTGCAGTTGCTTTGCTGTGGCACAGGCTGGGCTTTAAACCTCTGGAGTTTAAGCAGATTTGTGTGGAGAATTTTGTGGACAGAGAAAGTGAAGAAATCCAGGTCAGTGAGTGTTTGGCGCCATATGGAGCTCTCACTGACAGCATCAGCTTACCAAACCGGGGACTGTTTCTTCAGGGAAATACCAGCTTTCAAGTTGAATTCACATGGCCTAAATAAGACTCATTTTGCTCCTTTCTGTCTGACATAGCCCATATGAATGGATACGCTCTAATGTCTGAGCAAATTGAAAAAAGTGAAAGTGACGTGACATGTGGCCAAGTATGGTGGAATTAGTGCTCTGCATTTTAACCCATCCAAAGTGCACACACACAGCAGTGAACACACACCCGGAGCAGTGGGCAGCCATTTTTTGCTGCAGCGCCCGGGGAGCAGTTGGGGGTTCGGTGCCTTGCTCAAGGGCACCTCAATCATGGTATTGAAGGCGGGAGAGAGCGCTGTACATTCACCCACCCCACCTACAATCCCTGCTGGTACGAGACTCGAACCCGCAACCTTTGGGTTACGAGTCCGACTCTCTAACCATTAGGCCACGACTTCCCACGTCGTGTAATAGGTTGTGAACCAACAAACTGGACAGCTGCAAACAAAAACAATCTTATGTTGTTGAACATTTGTCAATATTTGCTGCTTTGAACAAACAGCCAATACAGATAATCAAATCATTTACAGTTAGCATTATGGTCCATAAAATAACATGTTGACAATGACATCAATAAAAATCAAACCAGGTGTGTTTTTGCAGTAGAGGGTTTGAATGGTTAGGGATTGGCTTGAGGGAAGAACCTCATGAAACTGAAAAACTATCCTGATCTTAGAAGATTTACGTAATATGCAAGTATCAGACTGTCCCAGAGAATTAATTACAATTTATTTGTTTATATCATTATTTTTCCCCAGACTGGTTTCAAAATAATATGAATTGTATCCTTTGCTTATTTGATGACTCAGGAAATATTCTCTTTTATGAGCAATTCATGGCATACCATAGTTTCCCGATTCCTCCAAAAGAGTTTAATAAGGTGGATAAAGCAATTTCACCTGGATTAATTCACCTTGTTAAGTCACTCTATATTTAATCCAAGGAGCAGTTACTACAGTCTGCTTAGCTCTTGGAAGGCGTAGATCTGTTAGATAAGAAATGTAATAATAGGCATGTGCGCCAAATTTTTCAGTTTAAAAGGAAATTTTCTTCAAGAAAAAAGTTCTACTGGAGGTCCTTGGTTGATGATATAGACTGGAAAAGAACCTGGCTTTTACCTGGGAAATATATTTCCAATAAGGCAAAGGAAACACATTTTAACACATTTTAAAATTTTACATAAAATATATCCTGTCAATTCTAATGTTTCTAAATATTTGGACATAGACAGCTCGTGTTCTTTTTGCAGACAAGCAGAGGAGACATTGGCACATTTGTTTTTTTTAATTGCCTTATATCCAAGCTATTTTGGTCTGAGGTTCTCATATATTTGATATTGCCAATGTTGTACACTCCTTTAGTTTAAAAGATATTATTTGTTTGTTATAATAATACTAAAAATAAACCCCAGGAACATACTATATATATATATATTTATTTATTTATTTATTTATTTATTTATTTTTTATATATATGGTAAATTTTTCATTCACAAACACAAATTCGCAAATAGTTCCGCATCCTATTCCCTTTTTAAAATTTAATTAAACTCACTTCTAAAATGATCTTGATCACTTGATCTTATAAAGAATATAAAAAAAACTAAGATTCTTGAAATAATAGAGAAGTAGCCTATTTAAAGAAAATCCATGAATTTGGATGCTTTCCTTGTGTATGATTGTTTGAATCTCATTGAAATGTTTCTGTCATTCACAATTTGTTGAGGTTTTTATTTTTATTTTTATTTTTAACCATTTTTTATTTATTATGTGTATGGCATTTGTGTTTGATAAATATGCTTCATTTATAACTATTGGTCATTATTTAATGGATTTGTGTGTGATCCCTTGGCAATGTTCTTTTTGAATTGACTGTTTAAGCAATAAAAAGCAAAAATACAAATTTAAATAAAATAATCATCATATTAGAATTGATGAATATTCATGTCTGCTCCGCCCACTGAAACCGAAAAGTTCAGAAACCAAAAATCTCGTAACACCTGTTTGGATGTAGCTACACCGCAGGCTGCAGCCAGACGCTCCTCTCTCTCTCTCTCAGCGGCTCTGCTCATGGCCAAAGTCAATAGCGGTTCGTCCGGTTGCAGGGCCGTGGTCATGGCTTTGGTTTTGGACGAGACCGCTAGCCCTGAGGCCGCAGAAGAGCGCTCAGCATCAGCGGAGACTAGCCTCAGTGAACCAGCGCATGAGGGCATCCAGCGCCGCGGGACACGGGGGCAAAAACTCGGCGTGGAGCCAGCAGGAGCTCCCCAACTACGCCTGGTCCAACCGCACGCTGATCTACAGAGATGTGAAGGCTTTTCTCAGTGAAATTGGAGGAGATCCACGGGAGGCTCGCTACTGGTTAACACACTTCCAGCGCGCCGGTTCATTTCCAGCGCTTGCGGTTCTGGAGGTGCGTGTCCTGCGACCAGAGTGAGGCTGATGATACACTTTTTGAGCAATGTTGCTGTCAACGAGCAACTAGGTGAGACACAGGGCCCACGACTGATCTGAAGTATCCAGATAGAAATTTGATACCCATTCTCAGTAGGAAAGTGCCCAAGCACCATTGCTCAAAAAAAAGTTGGCCGGAAAAATTGCTCAAAATTTGCCCATTGTATAGCTATTCAGACTGAGAGTCGAACGCAATTTAGATAAATGACTAAATAGCCTTAATATTAATAATGTCAGTTATGTTTATATATTTTTTATAAAACGTATTTTATTTTATGGTATTTAATACAAATAGGCTATGTGTGTGTGTGTGTGTGTGTGTGTGTGTATGC